TCCTCGTCCCTTGGGCAGGGGCTGATGGGGCTGGTACCCAGGGACCTGCTCTCCCCAGAGCAGGCTGTTTACCCAGACGGTGCTTCCATAAATAGAGGGCTCTGCAGCCCATACGTCTGGATGTAAAAATATGTATGTTCTGCATAAGGAGATTAAAAGTTTATGAGCCATTATAAATTCGTGCTTTACATATTTTATTCATAGACCCTTTACTGAGCTCAGGCTGGGCTAATAGACCCGTTTCCAATGTGTTTTCCCCCTTTTTCCTCTGCCTTTCATGGGGCTGATTTGTGGCTCACACGTGGAGCTTTTCTCACACCACACAACTTGGGGAGGATGTTATATCCATGTAACTCTGATGCCGCAGGCAGAGGATGGGGAAACACGGAGAAAACCTCTTCCAAAGAGGGGCTTGGCATTTTCTCCTTGACTTTCCTTTTCCTGGGAGGACACGCTCCCCATTTTAGAAAGCAAACATGAAAAAGTCAAGCAGGTGATCAGCCTGAAAGCAATTACTGGGGCTGACGAGTTGCCCTGCAGCACCTGCTCCTGCAGCCTCCCCACCCGGGCTGCATGCACTGCTCTGCTATAAATGCACCCACCCAGGCAGCCCTGACCTTTTGGGAGGCTGTGGGTGTGTCCTGTGGCCACTGAGGACTCACAGCATCTTTATTAAAAAGTTGTGTGAGTTTGGTGCCTGGAAAATCTGAGGCTGGGGTGTCCCGACTGCCCAGGGGATGTGGTTCCCATGGGGAGATGGAGGCTCCTCTGCAAACAGGTAACAGAGCGTGGGGGCATGGGGGGGACAGAGGATGTGGGTGACCAGCCAGAGGCCACCTGAGAGCTGGGTGTGGAGGGAAAGCAGGAGAGAAAGGTGTTTTCCTGCTCTTTGCTGGGTCGGAGCTGGGCAGCCCCATGGCCAGGGGACCAGGGCCCGGTGCGGCAGCAAGTGGAAGTGCCAATTTCCCAGCCGAGAGGAGAATGAGGTTGAGAATTAATCCTGCTAATGAGATGTCAGGATTAGTTTGTATGTCCTTGTCACCAGGGCAGGGTGACAGCGTGTGAGAGGTGCTGAAGGGTCCCCGAGGCAGGAGGACACTTGATTTTTCCTGGAAGGAAACCAAGCTGCTCAGAGTCGGTGCTGCCGGGGGCTGCAGGGCTTTGCTCAGCTTATCTTGAGGGCTCCAAGGAGGGGGGAGCTGAGGGTTTGGGGCAGGACGTTCACCCATCAACAGCAGAATCTCCTCTTCTTTTGCCCCCTGCGACCCAGAGCCCATTGTCCTGGGGCAGCAACGCCTGGGCAAAGATTAGCAATCCCCATCCATCCACCCCGCTGTGCCCACAGCAACGCTTGGGCAAAGATTAACATCCCCCATCCATCCCCCATCCATCCATCCACCAACCCACCCCGCCGTGCCCGCAGCCAGCCCCACTGTGTTTCCAGACACCCCCAGTGCCACCAGCAGCACGTACCAAACAGTTTGTTGTTTTTATCTCTGCTGAATGGAGACTCTGGAACCTTAGGAGCCCTGGGGAGAAAGCTGATGCCCTGTATTTGTTGGCTGCTTCAGCAGGATGAGCTTAAATAAGGGCAGGTGGCATCTAACAGAGCAAGAAAAGGACCGAGGCACTAATCCTGACCCTGCTTGTGTCTTGGCTGAGGCTTGTGGGGGCTGTAAATGGGCTGGGATCATAAGGACACTTACGGATGTGGGCTGAGCATCTCAGGAGGGAGCTGAGGGCCCCTTCATCACGGGGTGCCCCAGCTGACCCCCAGCCCCAGCTCCCCTCCAGGGCCATTGCCCGGCTCCATCCTTCCAGTTGCTTTCTATCAGCGTGAAGTAATTAAGTTCATAAGGCATCAGACAATCAGCTAGCAGCCCACAAGACGTTGTGTTTAATCATGTACTAATGGCATGTTCTTGGCAATAATTACAAGATAACAGTGTTTGCAGGCTGTAATCAGAACAATTCTAGTAATTAAATCAGCCTTTTGTCAGCGCGCTCCTTCCCCCCGTGCGGCTGCGGGAGCGGGGTGGCAGGACCCCTCCAAGGGAGGAGGGTGCACCCCGGGAGCACTTGTCGTGCGGGTGGCCCACTGCCACGGCTGGCACCACTAATTGAAATTAGAGAGGGATGGAGCTGCTTGCAAGGAGCAGCATCTGGCTCGGGGCTATTACTGGCCCCAAACACCCCCAGCGAGGGCTCAGGGATGTGCGCCCCCGCCCCAGAGCACCCACAGGCTGCCCCCAGATATGTGTGGGGCTGTTCTGCCCCACGGGGTCAATGGCACATCCCTGTCCTTCCCCATCTGCTCGGGGACACGCTGCAGGCATCGGCCGTGGGTCAAAGGCAGCAGTGAGGGCAGGGATTGACCCCTCCTGTCCTGCCCCTGGCACTGGTTTAACCCCAAATCCCCCTTTCCCTCCTGTGCTTTACAACCCCCAGCCCTGGAAGCCCCCATCTCACATTCAGGCCCACTCCTGCGCGCACTCACTCACCCACAACCCTTTAATTTGGTCTCTAATAAGATTTCCCAGCCTCATTATACCAGCCAGGCTCACTATTTACATTTAAATGAATGGGCTATTAACAAAGTTAATTCCCTGCAACACCGTATTTCTGTGTCCTCGCTCTGGAAGAGTCTTGTCGCTTTCTTTGGGAGGAGGCAGCATTCAGATTTAACCTTTTTCTTGGAGAAGCATAATCAGCTCCTTTGGCTGCCCATGGGCACCTTGTCTGTCCTGGCTTGGGGCATCCTGCCCACAGGGCACGGACAAGGCTGGCAGCACCATTCCCTGCAGTAGAGGGGAGAATAATTTCCCCTATATATTGCTGATGGAGCACGAGGTTCATTTACCCTGCGTGTCCCGGCTGGGAACGTACAGCACTTCTGCCCACGAGCAGCAGAACAAGCCATTTTAAAAATAACTCCCTCTTTTTAAGAGGCAAAACCATCAAACAATAACCCAAGAATAAAAATAAGCAGTTTTATGGCTCCTCCAATAATTAACTTAGTTCTCAGCTGTTAATTTACGTACCCAAAGTCCTCTGTTTAATATTCTAATTTGTGGTTAATCATCTATCAAGAGAGAACAAATGGTGATTAGCTCATTTTTACCTCCTTGAGGGTGAGGGAGGCAATTTGGTCTAATCAATGCATTAGCTTGCTCAAGGAAACTTTTCTCTCCTTGCCCTGAATTATTCATTGGCATCAGTGCCCCTTGCCATGGGCACACATGGGGGGTCCCTGCGCCTGTCACCCGGGTGGGGTGTGAGGATGATGCTGATGGGTGTTCGTGGGCAACCCATGCAGGAGGCAATGCCTCCTCCTCATAGAACCATAGAATGGTTTGGGTGGGAAGGGACCTTAAAGCCCATCCAGTGCCACCCCCTGCCCTGGGCAGGGACACCTCCCACCAGACCCTGCCAGGGATAAAAACTGGATTTAGTGGCCATAACCCAAGTGCGGGCTCCCGGGCGGCGCGGGATTCAGCGGGCTGGCAGCTCCATCTCGTGGGGAGAAAGGAGAAGAAAAACAACCCAGATTATTCAAATTATTCGGGCTGTGCAGCCGGGGTGTGGCCCCAGATGTGCTGCACAGCTGGAGCCCAGCGAAACCCAGCCTCGGGCTGTCCCCGCAAGAGGGTGGATAAACCCGAATCCCTCCCCCCGAGGAGAATTAGGATGAATCTCCCCATTTGTCCAGGAACAGGAGACAAGTGCTCAACAAGGCCATTTCTTCACCTCCTGCTAATAATGATTTGTTATTATTTGGGGCAGAGATTGGACGCTTTCCAGCTGTTTCATTTCCACAGATACTTGGGTTTCAATCTCTCTTGTCCCTGTAATGGCATCCAATCTGCTATTTATTGGATGAATATTTATGAGGGCTCTGATGAAGAGGCAGATTCGGAGCGCGTTTGCCACTCGCTGGAAACAACCAGAGCCTGGCCCCTAATTAATATGCAGCCTTCTTAATTCCTTGATTAAATCCCAACTTGCAAATAAAACATTTGCAATTCACTTCCAATTTTAAAAAAAATATAAAACAAAAATAAAAGACAATCCCCTTAAAAGTTAGCTGATTGCACCTTAAGTGACACGGCAGCTGTTTGCAGAGGGCACAGGGAAGGTAATTTAAAAGGAGAATGAGTGAGGGGCAGCTCTGAAGGGTCTGGGGACGAGGGGACAGATAAGGATCCATAAGGGATAACGCTCTGCCAGGGAGTGGGATGTGTCTGGGGAGGAAGGAGCACACGGTGCTGGGTCTGCCTGGGCTTGGAGCTGGTCGTTGCCAGGATTAGTCCCCTCCAGCTGGAGCGTGTCCCCGTGGGGCTGAGCCCCATCCCACCCCAGCCCCGTTTTGGCTGGGATTTGCCGGTGACAGGGATGCTCTGTGCCCCAGGGAGGACCCAGCCAGCCTTTCCCACCGCCTCTCTCTGGGATTTGTTACCCTGCCAAGCCCAACATGCTTTGCTAATAAACAAAAATTGATTTTTATTTATCTTACAAAGCGAAGCCCCATTGCTCCCACCGCACAGCTTTAATCCTTTCTGCTGTCGATGGCAATAATGAGAGAGACACCTGCGGATCCTGTTAGAGCCGCAGGCTCCTTTTTAACTATTAAGAGATCAATACCCTTCGCGGTGCTGCTAATAGCTTTGTGGCCCATTTGATTGCGGGGGGACTCGAGGGGACTTGGCCTTATTTGAAGGTCCCTGATGTGTTTCAGGTGACTTTGCTCCATCTCTGACCTCATGGGCTCAGGGTGGCAAATTCCTCTGCACGTTTGCAGTGGTGCAAGAGGGGGAAAAAAGCAGGAGCTCTTCTCTAAGAAACTTACTAAGAGGCTGAAAAAACAAGGACAGGAATGAGCAATTGAGATACCCACTAAAAAAAACCCACACCTTGAAACAACATAAAAACTAACTTGAGCTCTCCAATAACAGTCCCCTGCCGGGTATAGTCTTGTTTGAGTCAAAGAAATCAACACGTTGTTTCAGTTAATTAACAATCCATCTTGGTTTTATTGTCCATTTTTTTAAAAAGTTGGTGGTTTACTATTCATAGTTATAAAATAATCCTATTTTACAAAGATTTACAGCTCTGTGAGTGCCCAGCAGTGAAAAAGGCTGGATCTGGCAAGTCCCTTAAATAATCAAACCACAATTTTTGCTTTGTTTTGTTTAGAAAAAAGGACAAAAAAAGAAATCAGCACCGAACCAACTCAGCACCAAGGTAAGAGGATTTGTATAAAAGACAATTTATTTCTTTGGGGGGGGCACAGGGAGCAGAGGACGGGCAGAAGGGGCAGGTAATGAACCCCAGTAATGAGGAGGGGACTCGGGGTGACCTCTCTTTATTCTTCACCATCCCCCGGGCTGTGGGAGGGGGGGTGACACCTGCACCAAATTAACCCCCCGAGGCTGTTTCCCCTCCAGTGACTGCCCGAGCCCAGCGCCCTCCCGCAGCCGGGACGGCCGGAGGTGGCTCCCTATGGATTTGCAGTTTTCTGGTCTCTCTTTCTGCCAGCCCCAGGGTGGGTTTCCCGGCCGGCTCTGCCGCTGCCTCCTCAGTAGACGGGTCCCTTGACGGCTCCGGGCTCGGTCAGGCGAGCGGCGGCGTAGGCCGAGGCTCCCAGGCAGGCGGCCGGCTCGCAGAACCCGGGCAGGCCCGCGGGGCCAGGCAGGCCTGGCCGGCCGGCTTCTCCCGGGGAGCCCGGCAAACCCCGCTCCCCGGCCTTGCCATCGAGAGCGTGGCCGGGGATGCCGGGGAGACCTGCAAGGGGAGCGTGGGCATCAGCTGGGTTGTGGGCACTGAGCTTTGCTGAGCGGAGCGGGGGCCGGGGTATGGGAAGTGCCGCTGGTGAGGATGAGGATGCTCAGGCAGAGCAATGGGGCCAGGAAAGCGACCAGCAGAGCCGCAGGCTCAGGAGGCAGCACAGGGTGCCACAGGGATGCTGTAGCATCCCGGAGATTTGCGGGATGGACCCCTGCAGGTTTGCAGGGATGCACCAGGAGGTCCCAAGCCACTGCTGGGCTCGTCATCCCACCAGCAAGAGGCACGGGGGCTGCGGGGACGCGCCGCTGCCTGGGGGAGAGGGGCTTACCTGGGATCCCTGGGGGACCCGGCATGCCCGGGTGGCCACGGCCGGCTTCTCCCCGCTCACCCTTCTCCCCTCGCTTCCCTGCGGGGAGAGAAATGGAGAGGAAGGACTTGCTGGAGTCCCAGTGGGAGGGGAGGGGGCTGCCCCTGCTCGGGGGAACCCAGGTGGGTGATAAGTGAGGCAGGGTCAGTCCCGAGGAGGGTTTTTGCCGGGCACGGTGTGGGGATGGCCACCCCCCACCTACCTTTAGGTCCTATGTTGCCGATCTGCCCGGCAGCACCCAGGATGCCGGGGACACCTCGAGGTCCCATGGGTCCGTGTGGACCCTGCTCACCGGGTGGCCCTGGGGGACCGGGGGGTCCAGGGGGTCCCATGGCACCGACTCCACCCAGGGCTGCTCTCTTGGCACTGACTGCTACCTCCGCCAGCTGCTCTGTAGGGCAGAGAGGGGCCGGTGTGGGACAGGACGCGGTGACAGCCCCCCAGCCAGCAGTGCCCTGTCCTTCCCCTCACCTTGCAGCATCTTCAGGACCACGTCGACGATGTGCTGGTCCCCGGCGTCCCGGCCCTGCCAGCGGTGACAAGAGGGACATGCTGTAAAGGGAGATCACTCTTTCCCTCCCCATCTGCACCCCCAGCACCGGTCCCATCCTGGAGGCACCTCCCTGTACCCGATGTCACCTTCCCACCCTTCTTCATTTTCCATTCTGTCCCAGTACAAGTGGGTCCAGCTTCAACTCATGCCGTGCAACCTGCTCACTGCATGGACTTTCTGCAGCTCCCTTTGGCAAGTACAAAATGAGGCTTATATGGAAAAATTCTGCCCCCTGGGCAGGCTGCAAAGATACATATTGGAGCTAAACCTGCTGCTGGTGCTATCTACAGTGAGAAATAAAGAACTCTTCTTTTCTAGAAAGGTGGGATCCCAGCTCAGCCCTCCTGGAGACCTCGTGGGGGACCACCAGTGGAACAGCAGCCCTTTCCTATAGGAATTGGTAGGTAAGAAAAGCTTGGAGACAAACCACCTGTGGAGCTGAAGAAGCTGACGGTGACGGCCCCCAGGTCACCACCTATGGGGTGCAGGAGGTGAGGGGGGATGTGGGGTGCTGGGGGTACTCACCGCTACTCCCCGCTGGCCAGGCATCCCCGGCACACCGCGCTCCCCGACGAGTCCTCGCGGGCCGGGGGGTCCCGGGTAGCCCTGCACGCCGGGTGCGCCTGCGTCCCCCGAGGGGCCGGGGAAGCCGAGCTCCCCCTGGATGCCTTGCTGGGGGGGGATGGAGAGCAGCGTCAGGAGCGGGGGACTCAGCCCCGTCCTGAGCACAGGGGCTGCTCCCCGAGACCTACAGGACTTCCAGCACCAGCCACTGCAGCCAGGGTTTAAGCCCCAAGCGGGGTCTGAGCCTGAACCCAGGGCTGAACATGGTCAGTGGAGCACATCTCTAATGAAGACCCTTTCTCAGGCCACCGGCTGCCTTCGTCAAGGTGATGGATCACCTCCATCCGAGGGTCCCACAGTGTGAAGGTGAGGGAACCCCTTCCTCCCAGACCCCCAGTCACTCACCTGTCCCTTCGGCCCTGGCTCTCCCGATTCACCCTGGGGACAGAGGACACAAGAATTCCAATGGGGGGGCAGCAGGATTTTAGAGATGTAGCTGGGGGGAGGCACACATACCCCCCTGCCAGAGTGTACCATGGCTGTGCTGGGGTGCAATGGTGCAGTACCCAGGGCCATGGTGGGCAGAAGACCCCAGCACAGGCAGGAACACACATCCAGCCCCTGTCCCCCCCACCATCCTACCCCAGAACCCATCCTGGGCACCCACCTTCTCTCCCTTCAGCCCTGTGAGGCCATGAACGCCCGGGTCTCCCTAGAGGAAAAGGAATGAGAAATGTGACCCCTCACAGCCAGCACCCACCTCCTCTGCAGGCACTTTAATCCCCCCACCCAACCGGGGTGCTGGGGGTGTTGATGGAGAAAGCGTCTGGTGTCAGTGGATGTCAGCCCCCCTGCCCTGAGGGGGGTGCCAGCCCTGTTAAACACAGGTGTCAGCGGTTCCCCACTGGTCCCCTGCCCGGGCAGGAGGGTGATGTACTCACAATGCTGCCTTTGGGGCCAGTTTTCCCTGGGGAGCCCTGGAAAAATGAGAGGGGGGGGTCAGGCCAGTGTCCCTGAGCTGGACCCCACAACAGCCCACCCACTGCAGTCAGGAGCCATCACCTTGTCTCCTTTGACTCCCGGCAAACCTTGGGGTCCTGGGATCCCTGGTGGACCCTGCTCGCCCTTCGGCCCCTGGAAATGGAGGTAATGTGGGAAAAAGAGAAAAAAGAGTGAGAAGAGGCAGTGGGAAGACCCTCCTCCCCCATCAGAGCATCCTCCCCAAGGCAACAAGACACACAGGCAGCTCCCCATCCCGGTGGTTGGGCTGCCCCACAGCACCCCAGCCTGCCCTGGAGGCAGCTTCTGTAGGGGCACAGGGCAGAAAATGATCATAAAATCTTAGAATAGTTTGGGTTGGAAGGGACTTCTAGAGGTCATCTGGTCCAGCCCACAATAGCCACGTGGGGGGACTTTGCCAGGGACAGGGTCCCGTCCCCCAGGAAGCCAGAGGGGAAAAGGTAACTTTTTGGCCATTTTCCACCTTGGGAAAGCCTCCAAGAGGGGAGGAAATTCCTCTCCCGGCTGGGGCTGCAAACCCAGCGTGGTCCCAGCTCGTTAATCCCTGCGCTATTTGCCCCTTTGGCTAATCCCTCACCCCAGCAGCCGGGCACAGCGGGATGGGGCGTGTGACCCCCCCCCCAGCCACGATCAAAGCGAGGGGGGCTGTGTGGGGGTGCCAGCCGTGCCCCACTGTCCCCATCCCCCCCAACACCCCGGGCTGAGCATCCCTGAGCCCTGCCGGAGTGAAGCCAGGATGTGGGGGGACTCACCACTTTCCCCTGCTCGCCGGGGGGGCCCACGGGGCCACGCTCGCCCCGGTCACCCTGCAGAGAGACAGGAAGAAAATGAGGGTGAGGGGCAGCTCCCGGCACCCCCACCAACCCCACGGTGCCACCAACTCACCTTCAACCCGGGGACACCCTGTGGTCCCTGCTCGCCGCGAGGTCCAGGCTCACCCTAAGATGGGGGGAAAAATAAACTGCCTCTTTTGTATTCACCTGCCATCACCTTCGTCCTTCCCCGAGGGACGTGTGGCCCTGTCCTTGTCCCCTGCAGACCCACAAAGGGCTGCCACCACACCGGGTGGCCAAGGAGGTGCTGGAGAAGGGGTCACAGGGGCTTCCCCGTGAGGAAGCTGCTGGGGCTCAGAGGGAAGAGGAGGGTTGGGGGGGGATTAAGTTCTCAACTCTGCTTTCTGTTTGATGGCAAATAGGGAGAAAACAGCAAGAGGGAGAGAGAGAGAAGAACCCCCAGGCTGTGACCTGAGGAACGTGGTGACATCTCCGTACTTACGATCTGCCCCGGGGCTCCGGTGACACCGGGCTGGCCCCGAGCACCCACTTCACCCTGCGAACCAAAGAGAGAGGTGGCTGAAGGACAGAGGAGGGGACAGGATGGGGACAAGGCTGCGGGCTCAGGGATGGAGCACGGATGCTGCCACGGCACTGTGTGGGGTGAGTGGGGCTGGGGGTGGATGCTCAGAGGGGTCACCCCCACGGTCCCAGACCCACCTTGTCTCCTGGGCCACCTTTGCTCCCCGGCTGGCCCGGCAAACCCTGGGGAAAGAGAGCTGGGGTCAAAACCCGTGCACAGCACCGGAGGCAGCGTCCCTGCTGGGTGCTGGCCCTGCACCCTGGCGTGACCCAGGGATGGGGGTGTCACCCCACAGGGAATGGGGTTCCCCTGCAGCTGGGGGGGGTCCCACACTCATACTCACAGCTTGTCCCCGGTGTCCCGGTGTTCCTGGGGGGCCGGCCTGCCCCACACCACCCTGCGGGGGACAGGGAGGGTGTTACTGCCTGGCAGAGAAGGGTGCAGAAACAGGGTGGGACAAGGGATTCCTGGCCAAAGGGGGACACTGCCCCTGACCCCATGGGGACAGCCACACTCCGCTAGTCAGGAGATGCCACATCAAGGGCTGGGGGACCTTGTGTCACTTGCCATCCCTGTTATTTCCAGCAAGCACCGGTGCGAGGAACAGCGTGTGCCCCTGGCAGCCCCCCCCAGCAGCTCACCTTCACGCCTGGGATGCCCGGGGTGCCATCTTTGCCATCGATGCCTGGGAGACCCTGCGAAAGGAGGGAGGAGTTGCTTGGTCTGACACCTCTGAGGGACTGAACGGCTCAGGGTGGGGGCAAAAAAAGGGCTGGGAAGGGAAAGGAAAGCTCCAGCCCTGAGCTGAGCCAGGGTGCAAGGACACAGGGTGGCCCTGAATAGGACAGAGAGGGATGGAGATGACTTCTCCTTGCCAGGGCACAGCCCTAGATGTGGGCACAGGTACCTCTGGCTGTACTTACGTTCTCCCCCTTGGGGCCGATGTCTCCTTGGGGGCCCCTGATGCCACGGCCACCCTAGAGCAGGAGAGAGCAAGGGTTATTTCAGCCACCCTCATGCAGGGGGGGGGGCTGGGGAAACAGGGCCATTGGCATTGCACGGGGCATGGCACTGCCCTTCCCCACAGGGTGGGTTACCTACCAGCTCTCCCTTCTCACCAGGGTCCCCAGGTGGTCCCTTGGGGCCTTCCCTGCCCTGGAGGGGAGAAAGAGGGGGGCTGAGCAGGGAAGTGGGGGGTCTCCCACCTGCCCTGCAGCCCCTGGGGATGAGGGAGGGCACTCACCGGCTGCCCGGCTGCTCCGATGGTCCCGACCATCCCCTTGTAACCAGCAGGACCCTGTCAAGAGAGCACGGGGGGGTCAGTTCCTTCCATCCCAACCTCAGCCCCCAGCCAGGTCTGACCCGATTTAGGATGAGGCAGAGTTCAGCTTCCCGAGGTGCCGAACAGCCACGTTAGTGATGATCCTGGGAAGCAGCCTCCAGCCCAGGAAGCATCACCGAGGAGTGGTGCCCTGGACCCTGGAGCCAGGCACATCCCCCCCACCCCAACATCCCACTGGCACTTACTGTCTCGCCCTTGGGTCCCGCCATCCCGGGGTAACCCCTCAGGCCCTGTGGTCCCTGCAGGGAAGGGAAAAACAACCAGTTCAGCTGGAAACGGCCCCAGGAGCAGCCCAGGGGGGAGCCGCAATTAAAGCCCAAGCCGGTACTGGAAATGAGCCGGTTTTGCCAAACACGAGGTATTTCAGTCCCACCACTGGCTCCTAATTCTGCAGCCCCCCCGCCAGGCACCTTTCCAGTTGTCGGTTCAATAACAGCGACGGGCCCAAACTGGTGCTGCTTCCCCTTCCCCCAAAGCTCTTGGCTTCAAAGCGGTTTTGCCCTTTCCCGGCCTGAAGGGCTCAGGCCATTAATTGCTTTTCATCTTCAAAGTGCTCATTGAGCTCAAACAGCTTTAATCCCCGCATCCCTGCAGCGAGCCGGGGGCTGCACCCCCAGTTCAGGTGGGGTAATGGGGGGGTCTTGGTGTACATGATGATTTGTTCCTGGTGGATGAGTTATCCACAATAAGGTGTGCTAACACCCAGGTGCCTGGGCCAGCGCTGGCCAAGGAGGTCTCCATCGGGATGTGCCTTTGCCACCCTCCTGGTGGCAGCTCCATGGCTGGGAGGAGGGAGGTGGATGAGACAAAGGCTTCACTCCGGTCCCAGAGCTGGTGTCCCCAGGAGCAGGGACACGTTGGTGTCACATCCCCAGTGTCTGGGACCAAGAACAAACCAGCCACCCCCAGCCCCTGGGACACCCAGGGGGCAGAGGAGCAAAGAGAAATGAATACGTTACCGGGGGGCCTGGGACACCTTGTTCTCCGGAGACACCAACGTCACCTTTGGGGCCCTGGGAAGGGATGGAGAGGAAAGAGGTGAGTGTTGTGGGGTTATACCCTGGGGACCTGAGACACCCTCACCTGGGACCCAGCAGGGGATGGGGACAGGTCCTCCCGCAAGGAAGACCACCCTGTCCCCCCTTCACCTCCCAGCCCTGGATCTCACAGAATCACATGGGGCTGGAAGGGAGCTCTGGAGATCATCCAGTCCAACCCCCTGCCAGAGCAGGGCCACCCAGAGCAGGTCCCACAGGAACGTGTCCAGGTGGGTTTGAATGTCTCCAGAGAAGGAGACTCCACCACCTCCCTGGGCAGCCTCTGCCAGGGCTCTGCCACCCTCACAGGGAAGACGTTCCTCCTCCTGTTTAGGTGGAACTTCTTATATTCCACCTCCCTCTCCAACCTCTTCCCTTCCTTCCCCCTTTCTCTCCCCAGAGCCCCCTGCCCTCGGTCCAGCCCCAGTTCCCCAGAGGCAGGCATGGCTGGAAGCTGCTGGAGGGGACACTCACCTGCCTGCCCTGCTTGCCGGGCTCCCCGAGGGCACCGGGGCGGCCTCTGTGTCCCTGTGGGTGAAGAGGAACATGGTGAGTATCCCCAGGCAGAGCAGTGGCATCGAGGCAGTGCCCTGATGGCCACATCACCAGGAGTCACCCTGCCCATCATCTCCCACCCTGGGGTGCCCATGGGTGACACAGTGGGGCTCAGCACCCCACAGGTGTGAGGGCATGAGGTGGGAATGACCTGCTGGTTGTAACCCTTGGGGCTTTGCAAGGGAGAAGCTGGGGCTGGGGCTTTGGCATGGGGTCTTGCCCCCCAGGAAGGTGCCGAGGAGCCACAGGGGACATTTCCCACGGCATCTCTGCCCCCAGGGCTCTCTGAGTGTGCACGACCCTGTGTTCCCAGGGGAGCAGAGCAGCTCCTGAGCTCCCCATGTCTCCAGACCAGGCAAGGCTCCTTCACTCTGGCACAGGACGCTGGAGGTGACGGTCCCTGCTCGCTCCCCGGCAGCTCCAGGGCTCCCTTACCTTCAGTCCCTGCAGTCCCTGGGGGCCCTTGGGACCTGGCGGGCAGCTGGTGGGGCACTGGTGGGGAAGAAGAAGCACAGGTTGAGTTGGGAAAGGACCCAGGGGCTGCAGAGAAGCCGTGCTGGGAAGGGTGGGTTCCTGTGCAAAGGCCAGCTGAGGGGACAAGGACTCACCAGGAAATCAGCGCTGCCTTCCACTCCTTGGATGTGTCCTGGGGGGCCCTGGAGGGAAGGAGACCATCAGCATCCATGGCTTAATATCAGCATTATTTTACAGGGGGGGTGAACATTACCCCTGGGAGGGAGGGGAGAAAGGCACGGGGCAGGAGGTGGGTGCCAGAGCCCGAGTCCCAGCCCCAAACCCAGGGCTGGGGGGCTTTTTCCTTCCTGCAGAAAATCCTGATAACTGGGAAGATACTCACAGGTTTCCCTGGAGGGCCTGGGGGACCCCGCGGGCCATCAGGTCCAGGGTCACCCTAGAAAAGAACAACCCCAGAAAAGGAGATTTAGGGAGATTTATGGCAGGTACTGGGGTGAGAGGGGTGTCGAAGCACCAGAGACCCAGGCTGTCACAGCAGGAACTTGGGCATCCCCCAGCCATGAGCTGGGAGGGGACGGAAGGTGCTGGGGGACATGGCTTCAGACGCAGCATCTGTCACCTCTCTGTCCTCACCGTAGGACCCTGCTCTCATGTTACAGGATCGTCCCTCTTTACCCCAGGAGCCCCAAAGTGCAGAGAAGCAGATACTGGGGCAAGGAGGGGAGGTTTTCGCCCACCCCCTCCCAACCCCTCACCTTGGGTCCCAGCGCTCCGATCTCTCCAGGAAGCCCAACCTGGCCTGGAAGCCCCTTCAGGAGAGGAGAGACATTCATGGAGTGAGAGAGGGTGATCCCTGAGACCCCCACTTTGGGGGTGCTGAGATTTCAGCTCTTCCAGCACAGCCCTGAATGGGGCCACCCACCGCCCCACGAGCCCAGCACTTACGGGTGGTCCTGGCAGCGAAGGGCCCTGCAACAAAAAGAAAGACAAAATTGGTTCAAATTCTCCAATTCCCCCCCAAAACCACCAGCATCTCTGCCCTGAGCAAGGCAATGCCCACGCCACCAGCAAGGACATGGCTGGGGGGGGCTGCTCTGCTCCCACCCCACTCGTGGGTGCTCAGGGAGTGGGTGCATCACCAGCACCCTTGGGAGAGGCAGATACTCACGGGGAGCCCCGGTGGCCCTGGGAGTCCAGGCTGGCCCTGCCAGGACAGAAGGCAAGAGTTAGGAGACGAAATGTGAGGGTCTTGCCCCACCAAGCCCAAAATTCACCCCTCCCTGGACCCAGCCTCAGTGCCCCCTCCTTGCCAAATATTCCATCGCCCAATTCCTGCATCCGTGCATCTCCCCCCCGCAGTGATGGGGCTGGTCCCAAGCTGGCCAGGACCCCCTGATCCGGGGGGAGGGAAGGTGGGAGCCCAGAGTGGCCGGGCTGGTCCCAAGCTGGCCAGGACCCCCTGGCTCTGGGGGGGGAAGGTGGGTGCCCCGGAGCACCCCCTGACTCACTTTAACTCCTGGCCCACCGATGGGTCCTGGCTCCCCTTTCGCTCCCGTCAGGCCCTGTGAGAGGAGAGAGGGTGGGGGGTTGTTGCAGCGCTCCAGCTCTCCAGATGGATGGTTTTGCTGGGTTTTATTCCATCCCGAGGAGTCGAGGGTGATTCATGGGGGATTTGTGCTTGTCACCCCCGTGCACATCAGGCAGCAAAGCTGGAGATGCAGCTGGTCCCTGGAGCCAAGCCCTGGTGGCACAGGGGGACTCACAGTGATGTTCCACCACCCCCACAAACTGCCCAGCTCCCAGACCCCCAGTGGGGGCTCAGCAGGGACCCTCGTACCACGGCTGCCCTGACCCTGGCAGAGGCACGTGGGGAGCTCAGACCATCCATGATCCTGGTTATATCAACTCCGAGTCACTCCCTGGCTCTCCCGTCCCCACTCCAGTGTGTTTGAGGTCTGTCCTCTGCCGGGGTTTGGGTCCCCACAGCTGATGGTTTGAGCTTCAGCCGTGGGCTAATTTCTGCATCTGCTGGGGCACACGGGGATGGCACAGGAGGGGAGAGCTTCACTCTCTCAGCTTCCATATTCAAAGGAGCCGAACTCTTCTGCAGGCAGAGTAGCCCAGGTGCACAGTGTGTGCTTATAACAACAGTTATTGTTCTGTTCATTCCTCATGGCATCAGGGCAGGGTGAGGAGGCAGCTCCGTCCCCTTTCTTTTCATGCCAAGGGATGTCAGTGCTGTGCCCTGCCTTTCCCAGCACAGCTCTTGCCCCGTGTCCAGCCGGGATGTACTTTCGGAGGCAGCGGGAGGGGGAGGCAGCAGCCCTGCCCACCCTCTGCCTGTGTTTTCTGCTGGGATTCAAAGGTGCTTTCAGCTCCCTCACATGGGGGTTTTGGCACTTTCCTATGTGCAGCAGAGCCCTGTGCTGGGGGGAGAGGACTTTGCCGAGACCCTGCTGTGACTCTGGGGCTGTGGTCAGGGATGCTGGGGGGGGACAGGGGGTTGTTGGTACTCACATCGATGCCCGGCTTCCCCGGGGGCCCATCCGGACCAGGAACTCCAGGCTCGCCCTTGGTACCCTTCAGAAGAGAAGAGGAGGATTGAAAGGAGCTTCTCCAAAAGGGGCAAGACTGTGGGTGAGCTGGGGAGAGGCACATTTACTCACCGGGGACCCAGGGGCTCCAGGAGAGCCTTTGTCACCCTGGGAAAAGAGAAGAAGGTTATAAAAGGGGGTCTGTCACCCCACGGAGCCAGGTCCAGCAGCGCAGGGGACAGTCACGACCTGTGTTTCCCACTTCCCCAAGCTGGAGTGAGATGCTGGATCCCCCCGAGCACAGCAGCCAGGTGGGGATGGGGCTGGCACTGAGAAGAGAGGGCTGTGCTGGGGTTGTGGGAGGGCTGTGGCTGTTCTGGGTATAAATAGCACTAAAATAACACCCTGAGGCGGGGGGGAGCGGGGGCAAGGCTGGGAGAAAGGGCGCTTTCTGCTGCCTCACAGATCTCCCCTCTGTTCAGGGAGCCCTCGGCCACTTGCCACAGCCCTCGGCCACGTTGCCTCTCTGCGGGCACCCAACCCGGGTGTCCTGCTCCCTGCCAGCCTCCCCGGCTCCTCTTCCTCACTGGGCACCTCTGGGCTGATCCCTGCCCCCGAGCCCCTGAGCATCCTCTGCTGCCCAGACAGGGATGCCCCGAGCACCCAGCACCGAAACCTCCCTGCCACTGTGGTCCCCAAAAACCATTCCAGACCCCATTTCCCAAGGAGGTCAGGAGGCCACGGGCTGCTGTCCTGGGGAGGTGGATGGAGCCATGGCACGGGGGCTGTGCTCCTCTGTGCCATCTTCACTGCCCAGGGCCACTGGCAAAGCTGGGGATGGTCCGTGTCCCCAGCCCAGGAGCAGAGCAGTGCGGGAACCGCTCGGAATCGGCACCCCCTTCCCCTCCACCGAGCCTCTGCCCCAAACAATGTCCCTCTTTGTGCTCAGGTCCCCTCCCTCCTTCCCTTCCTCCCTCCCTCCAGCCCGTGCAGGTTCCCGGCCGCGCCGTACTCACGTCAATGCCATCCACTCCTGGCACTCCTGGGGGACCGGGGGGACCTCGCGGGCCGGGCTCTCCCGGCGGCCCTCGCTACGGGGAAAAGGGGAAGGGACCCACGTCAGGAAGGAGCAGAGGGACCCCAAGAGATGCTGGGGGTCAGGGGGAGCCCAGGGTGCAGTGGTCGCCGCCTGCATGTGCTGGGGACCCATCACCGGAGAACTGGGATGGACTGAGCACCCCAAGGCTCTCCCCCTTCCCAGGGCTCCTCCGCTGCCTGGTTTGTGCCCCCCAGCAAGGGCATGGATGGCAAAATCCAGGAATTTCCCCCCCCTCACTGGCACAACCAGCTCCCCATCCCCTGCCTGGTTTCTACCCCATCCTTCCTTGGTGCCCGGGGGGGTCCCGCTCCCTCAGGGCAGGGTCTCGACGGGGTGATGGCAGCACTCGCAAGGGGCCCTTGGCTGCGGGGGCGAGCCCAGCGCTGGGATTTCTAAGAGCACCAGCAGGATTTAGGCACCCGAAGCCCCAGGATGAAATGGGGAGCCCCCAGCCCCCCCCGTGAGAGCAGCCATCCCCGCACAGGGCTGGCTCCCCGCCCGCAGCACCGCTCGGCAGCATCGCACAAAAGCAGCATTGAGCGGCGGCCGGGGAGCTCAATGACCCCGCGCCAGGTTTGCACAGGGCTCCACGGGAGCAGTTTTCCAAAGAAATCCCTGTTATCCCATAACGGGGTGTTGTTGGGGGGGGTGGGGAAAGAGATTCCGGGCCCGGAGAGCGAACCCCCGCTGTTCCTGGAAATGAAACCCAGACGGGCTGCAGCACCCACGACCCCTCCGTCCCGCCAGGCTTCTTGGTTTTAAGGTGAATCGTGTCAGGATGAGGGGTGTCACCGGGTGGGAGAGCTCCTTGGAAGCAAATCCTGCCGTGGGGGTGGGAGTGAGCCCCCAGAGCCCCCGTGAATGGCACCTTTGTCCTGCCCCGAGTCATTTCCAAACGGCTCCTTGTTCCAGGAGCTCCCACGTCCCCCCGGCTCCCCCCCAGCCCGCTCCCCTGCCCGGACCCTGCCACCACGAGCCCACGGGCAGCCCGGGGGGGCTGTTTTAGGAAGGCAGCCACCCCCTCCCTACCCTCCACAGATGCTTTCCGTGCTGGCAGGCAGCTCAGGAGCCCCCCCGGAAGATTTTTTCCCAAATCTGCTATAATAAACTGATTTTTGCGGTTGCAGGACAGGGTGAGTTTTCCCTCTTTTCCGGTTGGGATCCCAGGGGGAACACACGGCCCCGCTCCCCCCGAGGAGCAGAGGGAAACTTTCTTCCCACTTCTCTCCGATGCATTTTCTCCTCCCCCTGGGTGAGGCTGTTTTAGGAAGGCAGCCACCCCCTCCCTACCCTCCACAGATGCTTTCCGTGCTGGCAGGCAGCTCAGGAGCCCTCCAGGAAGATTTTTTTTCCCAAATCTGCTATAATAAACTGATTTTTGCGGTTGCAGGACAGGGTGAGTTTTCCCTCTTTTCCGGTTGGGATCCCAGGGGGAACACACGGCCCCGCTCCCCCCGAGGAGCAGAGGGAAACTTTCTTCCCACTTCTCTCCGATGCATTTTCTCCTCCCCCTGGGTGAGTCCAGAGAGCCCCCCCAGGACCCCCGGTCCCCAGCACCCCTACTGCTGGTGTCCCTCCCCCTGCCCCATGGCAAGACCCCCCCGGGGACCCCTGGGAGGGTCAGAGCCCCTCTCAGCCCGGCTCCCCAGCATTCCAGTTGGGATCCCAGGGGGAACACACGGCCCCGCTCCCCCTGAGGAGCTGAGGGAAACTTTCTTCCCACTTCTCTCTGATGCATTTTCTCCTGCCCCTGGGTGAGTCCAGAGAGCCCCCCCGG